CATACTCCATACATTCAGCCTCTGATAAACAGTTGACATCCTCGCCATCTCACTTTTACTGTCATCCTAATTCACCATTGTCTTTGCAATTGCTATTATGGTCATTTAAAAAAACATAAAAATTAAAAAAAATTCTATTTAAATTTGTAAAAATGATAGCTAGGTCCCAGAATATTGAATTAATGACACTTAATTCCTTGATTTTTTTTTGAAAAATTAGTTAAAAATATTGAACCAAATAATTCCAAATCAGGAATTTCAATTACAAATACATATTTAAATATCAAATACTTTTAGATTGTAATATAAATTTCTAATTGTAATTATTTGAATTGATATTTATGATTGATTTTGTAAAAAATTTTGTTGGAAACTTAATTGTCATTAGTTTAATATTCTAGGACTGTCATCTCCCTTTAAATTTTGCACATATGAAAGGAAATTCATAAACTTCCTCCAATATTTAATATAAGCCAAAATTTGAATTTTTTTTCTTGGTCTTCAATATAAGATAAAGTTAAAATGATTAATATTTTTCAATTTTATCCCTTTTTTATTTGTTATTGTTTGAATTTATAAACAAACTATTATGATTAATAATATTAAAAAGGGTAAAATTAGAAAGTTATATATATTTTTAACAATTTTAATGATATTCATATAATTACCATTTCTCAATGGTAGTATAGTAGTATATTAAAGGGTTAATATGCAATTTGAATTAAATTATAAGATCAGGGGTAATTTAAACCATAAACTCGTATTTAATACATTATGAATTATAAATAATTAAATTTAGGACGGTTTTGCTCTCGTTGTTAAATTAAAACAAAAGTCTATTACTTTTTTAAAACAGAGGCCTAATTTGTAATTTTTCTCAAATGAGAGTAGGAGAGGGGGAGAGTAGGAAAGTTACACATCAAGCTCCATTTTTTAAAAAAGTAAAATTGCTCTAAATTTAATTGTTTATGGTTTAAAATACATAAAATACAAATTTATAATTTAAATAGCCCCTAGACTTATAGTTTAGGATCCAAATTGTATATTAACCCTATATTAAAGCAGTTAACTTTATCTTATATTAAAGATTGGATGGAGCATGACTAATGAAGATTGGGTTTAGTAGAAGAAGCTAATCCCACATAATACGAGCAATTAAAATTTGAATATATTCTAAGAGAGGTCTATAAGGGTCGAGCTCACTCATTTTCTAGTTAGTTATATCACTTCAAGTCATGACTTGCTTTCAAGGGACTAAAAACCAGATTGATCATTGAACCGGTCGAAGCTAGGGGTTAGGGGTTAAGGGTTCAACCGAGATCAAACCGAACATAATAAAAATATAATTTAAATAAATATTTATTAATTGTCAATACATTTATCCATATTTAAGACTTAATATCTTATACAACATATAAAAATAATTCTCACAAGTTAAAAAAATTTCACATAATAATAAAATTACAAAATTAATAATAAAATATAAACATAGAATTAAAAAGAAATAGAAATAAAAAAAATCTACAAGTTAAAAAAATTAAATATATATATATATATATATAACTTCAATTAATAAGAAATTGAAATATGTGAGGTGTGTGTGTAGTGACATACAAGGCAAACGTGTATGGTTCAGTCAAAAAATAAAAAAGAAAACTACACACAAGGCAAACGTGTATGGTTCAGTCAAAAAATAAAAAAGAAAACATGTATAGGTAGAGGTGACGAAATGGCAAACCTGACACCTCAGTTGAATAAAAAAATTCAATAAAGCTATTGTATTTATGGCTTGAAATTTGAATAGCATTAGTCATTTCATCTCCTTTTTCATCTTTCCCTTGGTTCAACCTTTATTTCTCTCATGAGAATAGCCCCACCAATGCGAGACAAAGATTATGGCGAGCAACGAACAACATTATAACTCTCCCTACACACCATTTTAAATTTCTAAATGTTATTTATATTTAATATTTTTAAATATATAAAAAAAGTATCTACAATGAAAAAAATTTAAGAAAAAAAAAAAAAACATTATAACTCTCCCTACACCCCATTTTAATTATGTTATATAAAATGGATAATTTATATATTTAAAACTTCCTTATATTTTTCCTAATTTTTAGATTCCACAATCTATCCACTTTAACTATAACTTCCTAAATTTTATTCAAATTTAATATTTTTAAAATATATAAAAAAAGTCTCCACCATGAAGAAATTTTTTTTAAAAAAATCAAACACTATAACTTTCCCTACATCCAATTTTACTTATCTTTTATAAATAATCTAATTGATATGTTTTAAATTTTTGGGATATTTCTCCTAATTTTTCATATTTCACAATCTATCTACTTTAGTCATAACTTCCTTAGTGTTATTTAAATTTAATATTTCTAAATATATAAAAATAAAAAAAATTCAAACATTATAACTTCCCCTATACATTGAAAATTTCTCCCCTACCATAGCTACTCCCCCCACCTAAAAACTTTTCCACTATCATATCTTTCAAACTGCTTATTTCTAATTTTAAAATTGAACTTCAAAGATAAAGAGAAATTTTAATTTTTATAACTTCCCTATTCAACTATCAAAGACCAATTCCATTTATATTTTCAAGCAATCCTCACTTTTAGTTTCAAATGCAACCATCACATACTACTCCCACATTTAGTTTTTAGAATGCTAACCTATTTTTTTTATAAAAGACACAAAAACCAAAGGGTAATTTGCCCATATCATCATTCCTATGCTTACTCTCCTTGCTCAGTGTAATTGCAAGGTCTAAAGGAACATGATTGACGAGATGAAATCCATAAAGCACACAAGGTCATGATGGTTTTTGTATGAAGAGGGTGAGAGATTAGCGAAAAAGCTGCAAAGCATGTTTTGATATATAGATAGTATGGATAAGTTGTTGACATTGATCGAGACGTTGGGAAGTTTTGGAGAAGGATATATTCAAGTTCTTCTCATGATGTTCTTAATTTCTTAGCGATGTGATTAATGCATATAGAGACCCAAATATCGTTTTGACAAAGCATGATGTAAATAAAGTTAGCTTCCTTAATGGAATATTCATTTTATGCCATATATGTAACAATTCATGAATAATATCCCCAACATGTACTTAATTGTAAGAATTGTATATTTTTAATTTCTATTCAATTTGTTTCTGCAATAAGCTTTAAGGTTACAGTACAATAAGGCTATTATAAAAAGAATTGTTGGGAAAGAACTGTAGAGAGATAGACATCAAGAACGAGAATGAAATACCTAAAATTTGAACGTCAACAAAAAGGCATATTCTTTGATACGCAAGTATCAAGTGTTTTAACAATATACCAAGTTTGTCTCCCTCATTATGCTAGATGTCAACTCAATTTAAGATGCTTTAAGAGAAAATGTTCCATTTCATTAGGTTTTTTCTATCAAAAGTGAAACCAAATTATTTGATAAAAATCATTGTTGCCTTAATATTGATTTTAACTTTTTTTGGGTAGGCTCTCAAATTAGAAAAGCAAGTTGAAAAGAAGATAAAGCATGAGAGAGGATCAACCGAATGAGAGGTAAGATTAAACATTCTGAGGATCATTTGTAATCATATTGGTATAAGTAAAGTATATGTCATAAATTCTTAGCATATTGAAAAATAAAATCCTTATAAATGCATTTTATAACTTCATTATTTACTTTAAATATATGAATTTGTCCATTATGTATTGTGGAGTCATTATTTTTAGAACACATAAGTTCTTATTTTTGTGATTAATAATAATAATAGAGATTGAGTTCTTGAGATAAGAGATGAGCCACACTAATTATTAAACGAGGCATTAAGTTATGTTCTATGACTTTTGTCATTATGCATTGTGATATTATTAAATTTTGGTTTTTGCAATATATCTAAATATAATTTATGAGTTAATCATTTTTAGTTAAAGGTAATTTACTCTAGATTTTAAATAAATATCATTATTGATTTAAATTATTTTTAAAATTTTCACATCCCGTGCGATGCACGGGCCACATACTAGTTTCTTCAAAAACAGTACCATTTGCATGATTAAAAAATATAAAAAATAACAAAAGGCAATTAAAAAGAAAGCACTCAAAATCTCGTGGGACTGGCTTCTCTTCTCCCCCCACTTGTACATAGCTTAGATTAAATATTATTTTATTTTTATTTTAAATTTTTAAAATAAAAAATATAAATCTTGTATCAAATTTGATCAATAATTTAAACAATTCAAATTTAATATGAATAGCTCAAATTTAATATTAATTTTTTTATAATTTTAATTTTAAACTTGCACTATCCAAATTATATTCAGATAGTGCATTTATAAAAATTAAAAAAAATGTATTAAATCCAATCACAAGTATGGACAATTTAGATTTAATATCGATGATTCAAATCTAATATTAAAAATTTTATAATTTTAATATTAAATCTGCACTGTCTAAAATTTATTTTAATAGTCAATTTATAAAAATATATTTAATATTAAATTTAGATTACTCACATTAAATCTGGACTAAAAAAATAAGTAATAAAACATATTATTAAAATTTTTAATAATATTTTAATAAATATAAAAAATAAATATTTTAAAAAGTGTGTAAGGAAGGGTGAGAGGAGAGTAGCCGGGTCTAATTGGGTGTAGGTACTCTCTGTTTAGCTGTCTTTGATTATTTTTTACATTTTTTAATAATACAAAAGGCACTGTTTTTTAAAGAAATGGAAGGAAATGAAGGGGGGAGGATTAGAGACTCCCCTATCCTTATGCTAGCAGGAGAGGGGTCTTTTTATTTTTTTCTCTTTTTTTTTTTTTTTTTCTCATTCCCACCATTCATATCATTTTATTAAATAATTTTTTAAATAATAAAATTAATAAATAATGAAGATGAAAAAAGTATAAAAAAAATTGAGAGAAAAGAAATAGAGGGACCCACTTCTAGCAGGGCTCTCTGCTCCCTCGCTCGCTACTGCCTACTGGGACGCTTTCACGCTCTAACGGTGTCGTTTCGCAACGCAGTTTGGCTGAGCTTGGACTTTGGTTAGGATACGTTAATGCGTACGGTGGTGAGAGATCAGAACGATCATTGAGAGAGGTGTGTCTTTGGGTGGTCGAGTGAAGAGGAAAGATGAGTCTGAAAGTGTACGCCGATCGTATGTCCCAGCCATCCCGTGCGGTGCTCATCTTTTGCAAGTAATATTAATTCATTAACTAGTCAACCATTTTTTCTTTTCTGGGAATTTGGTTTGGTTTACTTGTGCAGTATTATTATTGTTTACTGTAATATTATGAAATTTTGATAGGGTAAATGGAATAGAGTTCGAGGAAATCAAAGTGGAACTATCTAAACGTCAGCAGCTTTCTCCGGAATTCAAAGGCACGTAGTACAATTATTGAACTTACTTCTGAACTTCCTTTCCTGTGTGGGCTCAGTTTTGTGAAACGTTTTCATTTCAAACATGGAGAAGATTTCTTGGCTGGAAAATGATGGACAAGATTTTTTTCTCTCTCTAATTTTTTGCCCCTTTTGGATGTGCCTTCAGCCATTAATCCTTTGAAGAAAGTCCCTGCTATTGTTGATGGGAGATTTAAGCTGTTTGAGAGGTACTGTAATTTCATATAATATTTAATTGTGAGTTGGAATTTGGTTTCAGCGGGAGACTGGAACTGACGTGTCCTTTTTAGGGTTTCTGGATTGAATCTTTCAGCAAGTTGGAGCATTTTACATCAGAAGCTACTTTGCACTCTTTTCTACAAGTCTTTTTTGTAGATATTCCTGGAATATTATTGCTCTTATGTATCTTGCTCCGCTATTGATAGTTACTGGCTCAGACCCAATTTTTTTTTTTTTTGAGAAAAAAATTGTCTTCCCTGAATTTGTTGTGTCCATTGAAATGGGAAAAATAAAAACTTTTTAAAAAGTGTCCTGTATATTTGATGGATTACCTCTGCTAATTTTTATCTTTAGGCGGATGGTTATATGAATTACTGCTTTTTCCAGGAATATTTCATCACAAAACTTTAAGCTTTTAAGTGAAGGACGATAATTTATTTTATTAATATCTCTGACTTACTTATCAATGATCTAAATGTCTCGCTGATGACAAGATTTTGTGATGTTTTGTTCAGTGAGTATTTAAAACTTGCTGCATATATTAACTAACGCCAGTCATCAATTTTTTTCTTTTGAAAAACTATTATTAATTTATTTTTTATTTTCTTCTTTGCAGTCATGCAATTCTTATCTACCTCGCCTCTGCCTTTCCTGGAGTTCCAGATCATTGGTCAGTATAGTCTCTCCTTGTGGTCTGTCAAATTTAATTACAATTTTTTGAATGAATTTAAGATATTCCTTTGAAGAGAAGATAACTTGTTGAGAAGTTAAAGTATCGAATTTTGGTGTCTCCCCTTAGCGAGAACTTTTATCTGATCAATGCAACGACCATGTATAGAGTTCCTTGGCTAGTAATATAACAATTTTTTTTTTGTCCGGTAGTATTTTTCAGTAATAGAATCAAAGTACAAACACCAACCAACAGTATCCCAATATGAAAAAAATCCTACCCTATCAACAGACTCAACGACGCCCAACAAAATGACCAAAAAAGGAAAGACTCAAAAGACCTCAAAAGCCAAAATATGAAGCAGACAAGTGATTCAGTCCCTTGCCTCTGTTCATCCATGGAATTGGCTAAAAGAGAAGTCCCTTGTCTCCATTTATCCATGAAGGTGGCTAGAAGGGGTGGTAGTCCAATGACTTGCTCAAGCAATGAGCCCACACCCTTTTGCGCTCATGCTGCATATCCAAAAGCAGCTTTAACATCTACTCTTAAAATAAGAGGGAGAGAAAAGCACTGAAAGTCATTATCAACTTTCAGGCCAAAAAGGAACACAATGGGACTGAACCAACAATGTCTACAGCTATACAAATTGATCCACAATAACAAATCACTTGCACTAACAAAAAAATCATCCAAACCAGACACAAACATTTACTTATAATGATCAGTCTTATTAACCAGCAAGGGCATGCTTTCCTTTATCAGCAATACCAAAGGAGCCCCAAGCACCTGATGGCTCCACCAATCAGTCCTCATGGCTCTTTGGCGGCTGAAGGCCAGCCACCAAAACCCTCAAACTCAAAGCATGCTTCCACAGGTCCTTTAGTCATGGCCTCCTTGTGCAGCAACTCAATTATAGCATTCCTCAAATTTTGTTGATCTGTACGAGCACTTGGGTACCTTAGATTTAGCCATTCAATATGCATTACACACCTTGTGCTCAACTTAGCCTTTGATATGAGAACCAGCACTCCAATCTTCAATACCTTCATCTATGAACCAGAAACATTAATTATCATCACCAGTTCTGCAATTCAGATCTCTGGCTTTATCATATGCTTAACTTCTTGGCCAAACTTTACGTTAGCTTCACCATTCTTACCAACATTTCCCATCATATATTCCAGATCTGCCAAGTGAGCACACCTTTGTGCATTCACGTCAACAATTGACTTAGCCATCTTTGCACTAGTCATCCAAGCTCTAGACGACTTCACCACCCTCAGATTGACCTTTAAGAAGAGATGTGACTGACCGCTTTGCAAATAGACAATCACCATGTTAACGTTTAATAGGTTTGTAGTTCATCAACCTTTAGCATCTCATCAGGCATTTGAGAAATATATCCTCTCGTTATTTCCTTCGATCTGAAAGTCCAGGTATACATTCCTCTTGGGCAATGACAATCTTCAATCTAAATCTTGACTTGTTTAAAATTCCTCCATGGAACTCCTTTAGCTTGCCTTTCTTTGCCTCCTTTAACTCTTCAAGACCTTCACAATACTGATTCTTCACTTTAATGATGACTACAAAAACCACTGCTCTAATCTCCAACGGTTGTTGGAGGGAGAAACTAAAGATGCCACATGGTTGCTGACCTAAGCTCTCACTAGGGAGAGAACCTGAGCTCCCACACTAACATGGAGAGAACAACTATGCTAGTAATATAACACTGATTTTCATCATATTGTGAGATTTACTTTCATGCATAGAAGTAAAACTAAACTACGTAAATATGTTAGTCTATTAAACTGTTCCAAACTTTGAATGTTAGACATGCATTTATAGCCTCCATTTATGTTAGTCTTTGCTTGATGCTGTTGTCTGGTTTGATCTCTATAGCTACTCTTCATTCATTGAGATTTACATTTTTAACTGTTTTTCTAACCCATGTCACCAGGTATCCTGCTGATCTTTCCAGGAGAGCTAAAATTAACTCTGTGTTGAGTTGGTATCACCTGAATTTACGCCGTGGGGCAGGTACGTCAGAGCTCAAAATGAATCCTTTTCTTGATCCAGTTTCAATAATGAAATTTCTCCTTTTTCCTGAAATTATATGAAAGTTAATATACTTTTTTGGCCTATGTTCACTTTCACTGATCTCAGTGTAACAAATCAGGGATAAATGTCTGATCTTGTGTTCTTGCTGGTACTTCATACTCAAAAGTATTTTATTTTAACCTCGAGGAAGTTTAATGATATGATAATGAAAATACCTTGAAAGTGGTGGTTAAGTTACTGAAAATTTGTTCAAACATCATACACTACATAATCTAATTAGTGGTGGGTAATTATATGTTATTAAACACCGAAGCCCTGGACCGTACAAGATGAAGAAAATCTAATGGGGCTTTGAGTTGAGGGAGAAGACAAGAATCTTCCCAAATTGGCTGTTAATATAGAAAGACTGTTCTAACAATCTAACCAATTGCCATATGTTTGGTGAAATTAGAATATTAAGATTTATGAGGGCAGTCCAAGGAAGGTGTTCAGAGAGAGTAAATCGCCAGAAAAGGCAGGATGAGAGGGAGTTACAAATACACAAGTATGAGAGGAAGCACAGGTGGAAATAGGTGCTGCTCTTCTTTCATAGGGTTTTGTGTGAATGTAGGTGGGTCAACCATGCCTTTAAGTAACCTGTTAGAAGCAAAGTCGTTTGCAAAGGTTTGCACGAAAGTGGAAATTTCATATACTTTGACTCTTTGAGGTCAATTAATTTTGGATCTTTCCTTCATTATTTTCTGATTTGTTCCTTTGAGCGTGAGTACAGTTGATGGCATTCCTTTCTCACACATTTGTGTGCAAATGCTGTTGTCTTTCTTTTTTTGGTACAAACAGTTTTCTTTCTTTTATGATCTGTTTTTCTTGCTTTTGTTCCAGCCACATTTGTTCTGAATACTGTACTAGCTCCTTTTCTGGGTCTGCCGCTGAACCAACAAGCAGCTGCAGAAGCTAAGAAACTTTTGTGCTCATCTCTGTCAACATTAGAGAATGTATGGTTAAAGGGGAATGGCCGATTCTTGCTTGGTGGCTTTCAACCATCCATAGCAGATCTCAGCCTGGTCTGCGAAATCATGCAATTAGAGGTAAATGGGGATGATTTTAATGGAATTTGTTGCTTTCTTGTCATGCATGATGAATGATATATCTAAACAGTTGGTTTTTGTGATCTGTATCTTGTCGATGCATATGATTATCTTCATGAATGCAGATAAAAGCTGCTTCCATGGAATACTATTATACTGACTTCCATTTATTCTGAATGCAGCTTCTGGATGAGAAGGATCGCGATTGCATTCTTGGCCCACACGAGAAAGTTCAGCATTGGATTGAGAGCACAAGAAATGCAACAAAACCTCATTTTGATGAAGTTCATAATGTCCTCTATATGCTCAAAACGAGAATTAGGGTTAAAACCGCACTACCTTCAAAGATGTGAGAGTATACATGTGAAAAGCTTATATGTAATATTAATAGGAATGTTTTTGCATTTAGCAATTATTATGAAGGCTTGATGCTTGAAAGATGTAATTCATGCCTGTATCTGTATTTAGCCTCCAGTTCGACGACAATGTTGAAGCAAATAAATGTGATTGCCAAATGCCATTAGAAGATTTAAGAGGTCCTAGCTACTGGAAAGTTGTACTATAATGTGAAGGTGACGGATATACTTTCTTGTGCAAGGTTGCACGTCTGCATGAGAACGTGTACAAGAAGAATGGCAAAATTCAAGAAAAAGAAAAGTGATTAGTGACAGACATTTTGATGATACTACCGTTTTCTTCTCTCTCTATAGGAAAACTACAAATAGGTCGTGTACAAGGAACTTATTTAAAAATAAATTTTGTAAAATTTAAAAATTATAATCACGTCTCTTGATATTTGATTGTAATTTGTGAGAAGTGTGTAAAGATAATATTACCTTTAATTACAATCCCTTTAGGTTTCTTGAATGTGCTCCTTTCATATGCCTTCTCCTTTAGCATTTTATTTGTTAAAAATTGATGGTCAAGCCACTGCGGGACACTTTTAAAATTGTTACGGGGGAATGATCTTGGATTTATATATCGGACTGTCAATAGTATTTTGAGTTTTTCATCTTACATAGAAATTTACAAGACCTTGGATTTGAATTTATAATTTGACCGAAATACAAAGTTCTATCAGAAACTTAATATATATGATTCCAATTTCGAAAGACATAGTTATTGTGAAATTCAGAAGCCTTGTGTTTTGGAATCTTGTTTCTTTAACTCATCACAGGTCACAAGGCCTTGAATTTTTGACGAGTTGCTAACCAAAAAGGTGTAATGCTTGATTGCGTATGCTCTCTCTATCTCTCACTCTAATTGCAAATCCTCTTCATTTCCAAACTAATTTGAGTATGGAAGATATATTTATCTTCCCCTCAACTTTTTCAAAGCTTCTGCTTGGTATATGTTTGATTTGAAGTGTGGATCTAAAACTTTCAGGTTAAAAAGCTCCATCAAGAACGAAGATTAATTCAAATGGTGGATAAGGATTTGAAAGGAAACTTTGACCTGATTGAACTAGAAGAAATCGTGCAGGTAGCACTCTTGTAGTCTTGAGTCACAGTTTTATCCTTCTCAGTGCCCAAAGATGTCTGAAGTATTAAAGATTTATGTGTATCTTTTTCGTGTCAGTGCCATGCTAACCTTTTCTACATGTTTCATGTTTCAATTTTGTCGAATGTCCCTGAAAGGGACCGAAACAAATGTTTCTTTATAGCCTAGAATCATTATAGGAGTGATAGTGAAAATGTTACAAAGTGCATTTTTGTCTTGATTCAATTGTACGTTTAGGAACTTATACATGTATATTATGAAATTGTAGTTGTAGAAGTTAAAGTTGTAAATTAAGAATTTTGAGTTGTGAATTTGTGATGACAAGTTGTAAACATATGATACCTTCATGTATTGTTTCTTTTAATAGATTTTGGATATACAATTAGAGAAAAAGAAACATTTTGACATTATTGTCTTAGACTATAATTATGCAGGTCCTTTAAATTACAAGTAATCTATTTTGTCATTTTTAAAACATGTCATTTATTAGTTGCAATTTCAAAATTTACAAGTGGAAGTTTTTAATTTACAACTAACATTTTAATTTTAATGACTAACAATATTTGAACTAAAGTGGAAAACATCCTTCGTTTATGACTTACATTTCAATTTTTAAATGAGAGTTTCTAATTTACAACCAGCGTTTCATTTTTTTTCCCCAATACTTATTGGTAACTTGTAACCTTTTACTTACAATTATAATTTCAAAATTTATAAATAGAATTTTTTAATTTACAAGTCAAATTTCTTATTTTATGATTTTAAAATTTATAAGTAAAAGTTTTTAATTTACGAGTCAAATTTTTTATTTTATGATTGAGAAGCATGAAGTGAAGTGTCACAAACCCTTCATGCTCTTTAAAAATTTGCAATTATTTACCGTATATTTACAATTGTGCTTCAAAATTCACAAGTATAAGCTTTTAATTCACAAGTTAAATTTCATGTTTTATACCAAAATATAAACTTCACAATTGAAACAATAGCCAAATAATTTGGAATGAATTGGAATTTCATAAAATTAATTTACCAATAGTGTCGTATAAACCCATTTCCCAGAAAAAGAAGAAGGGCTCCATTAATACCAATCACAACCAAAAAATGGTTGAGCCGCATTAACACCAATTTAAGTAAAATATTTACCAAAATTTGTAAGGATTATATCCAATACAATTGTGAAGGTTGAAACTTTCATAACAAAACACCCCTAATATATGAGCTACAGACAATGCTAGTAATAGGGCCGTGCAAAAGTCTTGTAGTCTGGTCCAACCCGGTTCAACCCGTGAAAACCCGGTCTTGTCCAGTCCTATAAAATGTTGGTCCTACAGGACTAAAAGGACCAAAAAGACAGGACTAATTTTTCGGGTAAGACCAGACTAGAGACTAAGCATCTAGACTAAGTGGTCTGGTCTACTCCTATAGAATTATTTTAATATAATTAAAAATAATTTATAAATTATTAATTAATAAGTTAGTGAATTAATCTTACATTATTACATTTTGTATTAACACATCGAATAAAAAAAAAGTCACCCAGCACTCTAGGCTCCAGCAACCAGCAGTGTCAATCACGATCTCACACGTGTTAATCATTTTAGTCACACAGCAAAGAGCAAACGCCGTCAGAAATCCAGCTCACTTCAGCTTCAGCACGAAACTCATTCTCAATTTCTTTCCACACTCTCCAGTCTCCAGTGCGCCGAAGCCCTACCTCCTCCAGTGCGCCACCACCGAACACTGTCAATCACGTCGCCCGCCATTGCTCTTCCCTCTTCATTCTTGTTCGAGCCCTGATCTCTGATTCATTGCTCTTCCCTCTTCATTCTCGCTCAAGCCATTCTCCTGCCACCGCTGCTCCGCTAGTGCGCCACCACTATCGGCATCGCCTCTCGTAGCTGATTCACCGCTAGTGCTCTCCATTAACCTTAACCTCTAATTCACTGCCATTCTCGCACGTTCAAGCAAGCAATCGCCAGGTAAGTCTTGTTACCCATTGCCCCACCCTTGCTCGAGCCATTCCTTGTTCTTCTTCCTTCCGTTTTTTTCACTTGAAAAGTAGCTGTAGAGATTTCTTGTGCTAACCCAAGTCAGGCATATTCTTGTTTGTTTTCCCTTGTTTTTTTTACCTGACTTTGCCTCATCATCGAATCTGTGAAAAACCATTGAAGTGGATGTGTTTTTTCCCTTGACTCTGGCTCATCACTCTGCACGATCCAGAATTTTTTGAAATTTGCTACACAAATTTGGATTGACTTGTCTTAGAAGTTGTTTAATATGGATTGAAATTTGTTACACAGATTTGGAAGATTGAAATTTGTTAAACAGATTTGGATTGACTTGCCTTAGAAGTTGTTTAAAGTTTTTCCCCGTATCTGTGTTAATCTATTCGAAGGACATTCCTATGGGATGATTTTTATTAGTAATCACCTTATCAATTATGTGCTCTCATTTTCTAGCTTTTGTGTTACCTGCCATGATTTTGTGCTGTTATAACTTGTCCATTTTGCTTCCTTTTCATCATTGTGAAGTGATGGATATTGAGCACACATCCAGCATTGACCAACCTCAATCGTCTCCTTTCACTGGTGAAAATGTGAGTTCAACTTCTTCTGGACCATCTTTGACACCTACTCCTCCTCCTCAACCCCCAACTACTATGGAATGTCCTCCTCTTCTTACAACTGTAACTGAAAGTGAAGCTATAGAAGGTAATAGAAAGAGAAAAAATTCTTCAAGAAAGGTGTTAAAAGTATGGGAACACTTTACTAATTTATCATTGGAAGAGACAAATGGAGAAGTTAAAGCTGCATGCAAGTATTGTAATTTAGATTATGCTTGTGACCCAGGCAAGCATGGTTTAACATCCTTGAAGAGGCATGTACCAAAGTGTCCCAAGAATCCACATAAAGCTACACAAATGACAAAACAATCTATGTTGAATTATGTGACACCAAGTGGGCAAGAGGGAAGCTTAGTACCTCACATGTTCAATCAGAAACGATGTCGCAGGGCGCTAGTTGAGTTCATCATATGTGATGAGATGCCATTTAGGCTTGCTGAGAAAGAAGGCTTTAAAAAGTTTGTGAAGGAGTTAGAACCACGATTTCAAATCCATTCAAGAATAATAGTGGCTAGAGATGCCTGGCAATTGTATCTTGGTGAAATTAGAATCTTGAAAAATTTGTTGAAGAAGTATACTAATCGTCTTTGCCTCACTACAGATTACTGGACATCAGTTTAAAACTTCAATTACTTATGTTTGACAGCCCATTTCATTGATAATGATTGGAACTTGCATAAGAGGATTCTAAGTTTTTGCATGGTTGAGAATCACAAGGGTGATACGATAGGCAAGACAATTGAAAGGTGCTTATCAGATTGGGGCATAAAAAATGTGTTCACCATAACTATAGATAATGCAACTTCCAATGACACAGCCTTCTCTTACTTAAAAAGGCATCTAAAGAATTGGAGGGGTCTTGTTTGTGGTGGTGATTATCTTCAACTATAGTGTTCTGCACATATTCTTAATCTAGTTGTTAATGACGGGTTGAAGGAGTTGAAAGATACTTTTAAGTCCATTCGAAATGCTATTAGATATGTTCGTTCCTCTCCTACTCGCTTGCAAAGATTTAAAGATGTTTGTGAATTGAAAATGTTAGACACAAAAAGTATTGTTTGCCTTGATGTCAATACTAGATGGAATTCTACATATTTAATGTTAGATGTGGCTTTGAAATTTCAAAAGGCATTTGAAAGATTAGAGGATGAGGATGAAGATTTTGTTAGCTACTTCAACAAAGGTTCAAAGCGTCATGCTCATAGTGACTTTTCTTGTTTAGAGGGTAGCATAGATGCTTATATTTATAGGTAAGGTATTAGACCTGATGATAACATAGATGCTTTTGCTTACTCTAGGCAAGCTCCTCCTAAGCGTAATGGCCCTCCAAACAAACAAGCTTGGAGTAAAGCACGATTCTTTCTTAAGTTCTTGAAGGTATTTTATGATGTCACTTTGCAATTTTCTAGCACACTGAAAGTTACTGCACATACATGCTTCCATCAAATTGCTTTAATTCAAGAGTTGTTAGATGAGAATATTGAAAGTGATGACCCTCTTCTTATGGAGATGTCTTTGAGCATGAAGAGTAAGTATGATAAGTATTGGAGGGCAGCAGATAATTTAAACCCTTTGTTGATTATTGCTGTGATTCTTGATCCTCGATACAAGCTTGCCTATATTAATCATGTATTTGATCAAATTTTTCCTGCCCCTAACCTTTGCATGTCCATAAAGAACAAGGTAAGAGACACTTTGTATCGCCTATTTAAGGAATACTCTACAACAGTTAGTCCTGATACAAGCAGTTTTGGATTTGGTAGTGTCAACTCTTCAAGTTCTCTTGACACCAACACTTCAAATGCAAGTAAAGGTAAAAAAAGACCCTGGTCGTAGATGGTTAGCATTCCAGAAGCAAAAAAGCTCATCAGTTGATACCCAATCAGAGTTAGATAGATACCTTTCTGCTAGTACATCTGAGGACACCCCTATTGATGATGATGATGATAATTTTGATATCTTGACATGGTGGAAGGTTAATTCTACCAAGTACAGAGTACTTTCCTTGATAGCACGAGATTTATTGGCTATACTAGTATCTACAGTTGCTTTTGAATCAGCTTTTAGCACTGGAGGACGTGTTGTTGATGATTATAGGAGTTTTTTATCTCCTAAGATGACTGAAGCACTCATTTGTGCCCAGAATTGGCTAGTTGCAGGGCAATCTCTTTCAGAGTTTGTCTCTATGTTTCATGAGGTTAATAATTTTCAAGAGACTGACGATGTGGTTAATGTTACAGGTAATATATTCAATTTTATGTCTCTTAATTTAATTTATATATTGCATTTTTACACTTACTAATCACTTTATATATGTGTATATAATTTTTTTACAGATACTTCAAGTGTTATTGACACTAAGGAGATAATTATTTGAAGATTTATTGAGTTTGTTTCTATTGAAGCTTAGGAGATAATTACATGACAGATGTAATGTAGTGTTAAACTTTGTTGAGTGTTTTTGTTGAAGTTATATATTTAAATCATTTGGAGTGTGGACTGTAACTGAAATATTATTTTCTTGATGTTAGAAATCATTATGAATTATGAATTTATTATGATTATAACTTATAAGTGTTTCTATTATCTTAATTGAGTTTATTAGGTTGAAATAAATTATTGTTTATCATAGAGAAAAAAAGAAAAAAAAAGGCCTAGTGAGTATTGGACTAACAGGACCAGTCTCCCAGTCTTATAGACCAAGTCCGATCCTATTAATCTCTAGGTTTTCACAGGACTAGACCGGATTACGGGTTGCCTAACCCAGTCCTTTTTATGAAAAGGACCAGACTCCGGGTTAGTCTGAAGTCTAGTCCCGTCCAGTCCTTCTTAGCTATCTTCCTCTTTTGTCTGTCATGTTCCAACAAAACCATCACTTCTTCCAGCGACGTGCCCACGTTGAGTGTAAAGGGGGCAATTGCCCCCATTGAAAAACTAAAAATTGCATTTGATTTTTAGTTAAAATTATACTTGCTCGCTTAAAAAGCTGAATTATCCCATACTCTTTTTAAAATTATCAAGTATACATATTTAAAAATATTTTTACTCTTATATTTATTAGAAAAATAAATTTGATAAAAATGAAACTAATATATATTTTTAAACTTTTCATATAATTTATTTATATACTACTTTAAGGCTAAAGTATATATATTTAGTCCTTTAACTTTACATAATAATTTATTTTAGTCCTTTAATTTTATAAAGTGTCTTTTAATTATTTAATCCTAATACTATTAGTTTAATTCCAAAAAATTTTTATATTAAATTTTTAAATATTGATAAAATATTCTTAAATGTTAACATATTAAGTTTAATTTTTTTAAAATAATAATGATTGATATAAAAAATAATCATTTGAAAGTAACGATGTTAGGGTTAAAGGATTAAAATAATATTTTACAAAATTAAAAGATCAAATTAAAATCTTATATAAAATTAAAAAACTAAAAATATACTTTAACCTTACTTTAATTAATATTTATAATTATATTTTCTTTAAAAATATCAAAATTTACTTTTAGCTTAAATATTGCCCCCTCTGATAAATTATTTTAGGCCTGTCACCACCTTCTTCCTTTTTAGTCATCCTCCTCCTTTTTTTTTTTTAGTTTTTTTGGTCATCCTCCACTTTTTAAGCTGCATAGCCATCCTCTTTGTCATCATCTAATTTTCTCTTCATATTACCTTGATGATGTTCCTCTGCACTCTCATTACGACTCACCAATATAACCAACCAACTCCACGTATGCTTTTTTAAGGTCCTAAATCACACAATGCACACATTGTCAAACGCATTTCATTCAATCCAAGTTGTAAAATGAGTACTTCCTAGTTATAAATATAAAAGGTTTCCAGTGTAAATTTAAAAGTATTTCCATTTTAATAACTAAATTATTCAAAATTTGCAGCTAATCCTTCAAGTTACTTGAGTCAATTTAACAAGAACTAAAGAGTGGGATTTGAGATGATTTACAACTCATGTTTCATGATTTAAAGTTAATTTTTCATTATTTACAACTAATTCTTTGGATTTTACGAGTAAATTGACAAGTGACTCATCTTCCAGTATTTCAAGTTTCTTCACAAGAATAATACCACATTCATCTCAAATTATAAGGCACTTTGAAGAAGTTTCTCCATCCCAAAGACCCAAACTATAAGACACTTTAGGTAGATTAATGTTTCATTAAATACACTAATTTCAATATTATTCTTTTTCTTTTTATAATTATTTTTCGTCCATTTTTTTCAATATATTAAATGATGAATATTTTTAAAAGTTTATATTTTTATTTTGAAAAGATAAGGTTGTTAAGTGTATTTAATTAAGTTTATTGGTATATAAGATTTTGTCTAAAAATGTCTTATAATTTAAGACAAAAGGAGTAGAAAATACCACAACTTTAGTTCAAAATATGCTAGAATAACTCTTTCTATCTTGTTTATAAATGAACATTTGAAAATTTACAATTCAAACTTCATAATTTATAACTAAATTTTTATATTTTTTACAATGGATTGTGTATACAGAGAATTATAAGTTTATTCACCAACTCACGTTGCCAATATACATAAATGTAGAATTGGTAATTCAGATAGGCCAAACGTAAAGTATCTTACCATTTTAAAAAAGCTCATATGGTCAAGTTCGACCATAACTTTTTTTGATTGGATTCGGGCTGGCCCATTAGATTTGACCAAAATTACCTACTCTACATACACAAAGTTAAAAAATTGTAGGGGTTGGGCTCAATTCAAGCGCGGCTTATTTAGATCAGACTTAAAGTATCCTGCTCTCTTAAAAAAATTATATAGCCAAGCCTAACCCTAACTTTTTTTGGACAGGTTTTGGTTGGTCCACATTATCGGCTCTACATAAATATCCTCTAAACAATGAAGGAATTTAAACATATGATCTAGCCCAATTTGTTTTCTTTGAATTTTCCAATCTAAGAAAATCAAACTTCTTTATTCATACCAACTAATAATACCAAGTGGCTATGATGACTTCTTGACAATTGGGACAGTTTTTGAACAGCTTGTGAATGCTCATAAAGATGCATTAATAGAGGTGGATCAAAATAATGAAAAATCAAGTGGACCTTGAAATAGAAGATTTAGATCAACGAGAGGGGACATATGATTTTCATCTTAGGCAAGATAAGAGTGAGGATAAAATTTGTGCCAAGGGTCAACTTATACAAAAAGAAGAGAAGAAGATTGGTAATATTGGGTGGCATCCATACTCATATTAAAACATGTCATTTATTAGTTGTAATTTCAAAATTTATAAGTGGAAGTTCTTAATTTAAAACTAACATTTCAATTTTTATGATTAACAGTGTTTGAACTAAAGTGGGAACATCCTTGATTCATAAGTTATAATTAGTCAAAATTTAAGGGTTAAGTTATATTTATATCAAAATTACATAGATCAAAAGAATAATTTTACCTATTTTTAATAGGGGTATTTAAATAAAAGAATTCTCATAATTATTTTTGTATAAATAAAAGGTAAGAAGAAAGAACAAACAGTATATAAATTGATCATTCCTTGCAGGTAAGCGCGGAAACGGAGGGTCTTGATTCTCAGCTTTTGGCGGTGGCACCGAGTATCGGATTTGGATGTAAAGTTACATGCTAAACCACAGACCCATAATTCTCAGCTGGCAGGCATGAATCTGGGTAAACTATAAATAGGAAAATAAAAAAAAAAAATACTAGAAAACGAGCAAAATAGATAAAAAAAATCTAAAATTGAAAAACTTACGACGCTGTGTTGAGTTTTGGTGGGTAGGCTGCTGACTGGTGAGAAATTGAGGCCTTTCCTAGTTCCTGTACTCTCTTCTCTCTCTTATTGTCTCCTCATCCTTCAATGGATCTATAATTTAATTTGTTTTTGTTGGAATTTCTGCTTTCTGGCCGAACTGACTGCGTTGAATTGAGGCACAAGTTTGCGCTTTGTCGTTCTTGGATTGCAGGAATTTCATAAATCCAAGATCCTCTTTTAATTTTGGTTTCTGTATCTTTGACATGATTTAGGTTTAAGGGGGCAGCGTCGATGAGATTTGTTCTCTTTGGATCTCGAGGATTGGTTGACATTTAGCTCCAGGTTGGAGGTTGAGAATTTTGACACGTGCAATTAGAGGTTATTCGACCTCCCCCCCCCTCCCTCCTCCTCCAGCGAATTGGTTTGAACCTTCGGTGGGATCAAGAGGACTCGTTAAGGATTAGGGTTTTGGCGATGGCTTCAAATCCTCCATTTCACTTGGAGGACCAGACCGACGAGGATTTCTTTGATAAGTTGGTGGAGGACGAAGTGGAGCCTGTTAAGTCAGGTCAAAATGATGGGTATGTTTCCGATGACGCGAAAGTAGTTGCAAATGTGAGTATTAGTGATGCTGATGTGGCATTAGAGAATTCAGACGCTGACGAAAGTGGGCTTGGAGTCAGAGGTGAACTTGGCAGTGTGAAATTCGATGGGGGATTGGTTGGTGCCCATGCAGAAGAGAAAATTTCATCGGTGTCCTCTGGTTCAGTTGGGTTTGATAGTTGGATCTCCCCCAGTAACGATGAGATGGGATCACAGAGCACATCGTCTTCAAATGTAAATAACAACGACGGTATCATCAATTCAGAGGTTAAGGAGGTAGGATGGAATTCATTTCATGCTGATTCGAATGGAGGCAACGTGTTTGGTTTAGACTCTGACTTTTATAATGAATTTGAAGATAAATCTGGAGATTTTCCAGGGAAAGCAGATAAAAATTTAAATACTGAGGCGAAACATAGTTTTGAATCTCATAGTGATGGCTTAAATACTTCATCCAATCACGTGCAATATCAAGACGACCGAGGTTATAATGCATCTATGGAACAAAATGCAAATGGGCACGATCAAAGCAGCAGTAAGTATTGGGAAGATCTTTATCCAGGTTGGAAGTATGAGCATAACACCGGGCAATGGTATCAAGTGGACGGCTATAATGCAACATCCGCTAATCAGGAAAGTATTGAAGCCAATTCTTCTGTGAACTGGACTGCATCCAGTGGAACAGCAGTGGTCTCTTACACGCAGCAAACTGCTCAGTCAGTTGCTGGAACTTCAGCTGAAACTGCCACTACGGAAACTGTCTCCAGCTGGGACCAGGTTTCACAAGGGGCTAATCGATACCCAGAACACATGGTCTTTGATCCTCAGTATCCTGGTTGGTATTATGACACAATTGCCAAAGAATGGCGCTTGTTGGAGACCTACAATTCATCCATTCAATCTACGTCATGTGGACTTGAAAATGGGCATTCCTCTAATAATACCTTGTCACACGATAATGATAGTTTCTATGGAGAGGATTACCAAACTGGCACTTACCAATCACAGGGTGTTGGTAGCCAGGCTGTAGGTGGCAGCTGGGGTGGTTCATATGGTATCAGTGGTCAGCGAGGTCTAGACACGTATACAACTGATGCTGCTAGTAAAAGTGGGGATGGTATGAGCACGGTTGGAAATCAGCAATTCGGTCATACTTATGGTTCAAGTTATTCAGTAGATAACAATCAATTAAATTCTTCTAGTTCCTTCAGATCAGTCTCATTGAACAAGAATGTAAGCCATAGTCATGGTTTGGCTAATGGAACTGTTGAACTCCACAGCTTTGCCCCCAGTACGGACATTGTTCAGCAGTTTAATCATTCAAATACAAAATTTGATGAAAAGAAAGATTTTTCAGATCATTATGCTGAAAGTCAGAAACCCACTAGCTATTCTCAGCAGTCATTCCAGGGTGGGCATAACTTTTCTTATGCCTCTCATGTCGGAAGATCATCTGCTGGACGTCCTCCTCACGCTCTTGTAACATTTGGATTCGGTGGAAAACTCATTGTCATGAAAGATTCTAGTCTTTTGAGCTCATCATATGGAAGCCAGGTTAATTTTGGATTCCTCTGTTTAGTTTCATAGTTCATTCTATACTTCATTTTATACCTGAAAGACTTGGAGGTTGCCTTTTGGATTTCTTGTGTTTGAAACTGTATCTTTTTTCATTTCGTTCTCTAGCAGTGATTTCTCAAAGCAATAACACTGTATTCTTTCTAATCTGAAGGATACTACACAAGGCTCTATTTCTGTGTTGAACTTGATGGATGTTGTCTTGGGAAACACTGGCTCTCCCAGCATCGGAAATGTTGCTAGTGATTATTTCCGCGTTCTGTGCCAGCAATCTTTCCCCGGTCCATTAGTTGGGGCAAGTGTTGGAAGCAAAGAACTGTTCAAATGGATAGATGATAGGATTACACACTGTGAATCACCTGATATGGATTACAAGAAAGGTGAAAGGTTGAGGCTACTTTTCTCCTTGCTTAAAATATCTTGCCAGCATTATGGAAAATTGCGTTCTCCTTTCGGTACAGACACTATACTAAAAGTAAGATACATCTTTAACCTTTTGGCTTCAATTTCTCTTTCACATCCTTGCAGTGCTATTTTAATTGAATCTGCCATCCTTTCTTGGATTGACCAAAATACTGAGGAGAACTGCATTGTGCATGAGATTAGCTGCTACCCTAATCAATGTTAATTTAGTGTTGTGTCTTATGGATGCATGTTTTGAATCAGTTGGCCAACCAAAAAAAAAAAAAAAAATCCCTACCATCTATCTACATTGGCTACCTTGTAGTATTTTTATTATGATATTGTGGATGATATGTAATTATTTGTTTCAGAATCTTTTCTTTTTCGAGTGGTTTATGATTGCCATGCATCATGACTGTTTTATCTTGTTCTTTCATACTGGATTAAAAGACCATTCTTGTGAGCAATTATGGGAAATTAGGCTCTCACTTATATTGTATTGGGATATCAGGGAGACATAGTAGTGGACATGGGATCTCCTCTTCCTTCTTTGTACAAATAAGAACCTTTTTTTTTTTTTTTTTTTTGCCTTCAGTGGTGCATTATAAGGCCATGAAAGTATTTACATCCTTGCAGATAAATCAATAATTTATATAGTTTCTGTATCTTTTGAGTGATTTGAGTAGATTCATGAATGTCATGATTAGACTTTATTTATCAAGCCTCCTTGATTGTTTGTGGTTCTTAGTCATTCTTGTCACAATGCAATTTCTCAAGAGATGCCTGTCCCTGCTATACCTGGTGACCTATTGGTTGTATATGATACAGGAAAACGATGCTCCTGAGTCAGTGGTTGCGAAACTCTTTGCAACTGCCAAGATGAGGGGCGCAGAATTCTCTCAGTATGGTGTGCTGAGCCACTGCTTGCAGAATTTTCCTTCTGAAGGACAACTACGGGTGTGAATCTAGTCAACTCCTGAATCTTTTCCTTCCCCTTAGATTTTTAAATCAGTTTCTTTTAACTGATTTGGATTTTGACATAGGCAACGGCTTCTGAGGTGCAAAATCTTCTTATCTCTGGCAAAAAGAAGGAGGCTTTACAATGTGCACAAGAAGGTCAATTGTGGGGACCTGCTATTGTTCTCGCCTCACAACTTGGTGATCAGGTTAGCTGTCTATTTTTAGTGTTGAAAACTGCTACTGATGCTGAAATATATTAATACCTAGACAATTTCGTTTTATGTCTTACTGAATTTTCTTAGCCCTGCCATGATTGGGGGTTTAAAGCTGGGTGCATGTTTGCAATGCAGTTTTATGTTGCTACAGTAAAGCAAATGGCACTACAACAGCTGGTTGCAGGATCTCCTTTGCGTACATTGTGCCTTCTAATTGCAGGGCAACCAGCTGAAGTTCTCTCTGCTGACACCTCTGTCAGTGGGCATCCTGGAGTTACTAATGTACCTCAGCATCCTGCACATGTGATCTAAATAGAATGAGCTTATAAGCCATGGGAAGACTATCATGCAATCATGATATTACTCTTATGGTTTGATAATAGTGTAGATTCTTGTTTTGATTGACTAGAAAAACTTGAACTTTTGCTCTTTGCTTCAAAACCTTTTTTGCTTCACAATTTTAGGTTGGATCTAATGGTATGCTTGATGATTGGGAGGAGAATCTGGCTGTAATAACTGCAAACAGAACAAAAGATGATGAACTTGTAATTATTCATCTTGGTGATTGCCTGTGGAGGGAAAGAAGTGAGGTATAATTGTTCTTAATCTTGTACTTTTTCTGCCTAAAGGCACATGTTCGCTTTATTTCTATGCAGATTTTTTTTTTTTCTATTTGTTCTGCTTCTGATTTGAGACTCATATCTTAGATTACGGCTGCACACATTTGCTATTTAGTTGCTGAAGCCAACTTCGAGTCATACTCAGACAGTGCAAGATTGTGTTTAGTTGGAGCAGATCACTGGAAATTTCCCCGAACTTATGCTAGTCCAGAGGCTATCCAGGTTCATTGAACTTTTATTGACAACACCCCCCCCCCCCAAAAAAAAAAAAAATTGGATTTTGAATGTGCAAGTTTTGGAGTAGGACGTGTTATGCATGCTATTTCGATATGCTTATAACGTGCTCTCTCTCTCTCTCTCTCTCTCTCTCTCTCTCTCTGTGTGACAAATTCATTAACCCTTGATTACTTATTTACTTGCCTTAGAAAATAGCATTTACATCTCCTGAATAGACTTGCCCACCTATAATCCTAGTGTCATCTTAAAATCATGGATTAAGATACAAATTTACCCTTGAAATTTTCACTCAGGTTCATTTCATACCCTTGAGTATTTTCTGGTGCAATGTCACCCCAATATTTTTCATTTTGGTACAATGTTACCCTGCTGTCACCCTTTGACTAATTTGACTGTTAAGTTTGAAAATTTGACTGTTTTGTGCTTTGCCGGATTGCCACATTTATGTACACATGAGAATTTTTTTTTATCATTGTCGTATCATCAGTCCTCTCCCCCACTCATCATTCTTCCTCGATCTTCTGCTGCAAAATCTGATCCTGGAAAACCCAGATTTAGACCCATATCTCAAACCCGGATTTATCGTTCTTGTTCAGTCTTCTCTCCCACATGAACCTCTCCCTCTCTCCCTCCCTCCCCCCACCCCTTCTCTCCCCCCTCATCCAGAGATCAGGACGTTTACGCATCTGAATCATTTCTTGAAACAGATCTGAGGACCCAGACAACAAGCACTTCTGGCAGCCCCAACAATTCAAGAATTGTAAGAAATAACATGTGGGTTTATCCCAGCTTCCCTTATCCTATGGAGAACAGAATAACCAACATCAATACTGACAAAACGACAATATACATCAATTAAAGTATTGTATGTAACCACATCTAGAAGTACCCCTAATCTTATACCATCAATTAATACAACTTCAGCTTTAACCAATTGCTAGGCTTTGCACATTGAAGCTTTGCATAAACCAACAAGCACATAACAATAAACTCAGATCTAGATAGAACTCTTAAAAGCATAAATCAATAGAAATCGAAACCCACATCCAGAGAAATCCACAAACCAATATAAACAATATAATCAATAAAAAAAAATAGATGAACCCCAAACTATCACTGGAACGACAGTGAAGCTAGAGCAGAGAGAAGGAAGAAGATGGTGAAGGAAGAACAAAGAGCAAGTGCTGAGAGAAGCAAATCCCAACCATGAAGGCACTCAGAATCCAGATCAAACCATCATGCTCAAGCTAGACCGAACCCAAAAAGGCTTTTGATCAACCTAGATCTAATGAACAAAATCCTACCACAGCATTTTGAAACCCCACCACACCACCGAAATCCCCTTTTGAATTTTGATTAACAACCCAAACCGAGATCGTTGAGAAACCCTCTCCCACAGCATCAAAATCCCACCCAGCTCGTCGCCTTGTTTTTCTTCCTCTTTGAAACCCCACCCAGCATCTTCCCATCATCTTTTATCATCTCCGTCAGCATTGATTGTAGCCTCCCACACCGTGGGCTTGTTGGAAGAGGAAGGAGAATGCTAAGACGAGGAAGAAGTAAGAGGGATTGGTTCAATTGGGAGAGGAGAAGACCAAAGGAAGAAGTAAGGAAGACGAGGATGTGAAGATGATGATGTGGATTTTTTTATTTTAAATTTTTAAAATATGCTAGGTGGCTAGCAACAAAGCATTTAAGGTCAAGCTTAGCAGCCAAAGTGGTCAAAGGGTGATAGCAAGGTATCATCGTACCAAATGAAATATGTTGTGGCAACATTATGCCAGAAACTACTTGAGGATATGAGGTGCGTTTGTGTGGAAGCTTCAAGGGTAAATTTGCATCCTAACTCTAAAATCAATGTGATAGGTTCTTTCTACCAGCCTTCTATATGCTATTAACATAATCTTATTGGTAGCTTACTTGTGCCATCTCAGTCTATCTGGCTTTCCCAAAAAATTATAATGTTCAATATGACTCAATATATGCTTCTGGAACAATCTAATTTATCTTTCCTAATGTGTGCTTTCACAGAGGACTGAGTTATATGAATACTCCAGGGTGCTTGGAAACTCTCAGTTTATTTTACTTCCATTTCAACCATATAAGCTCATATATGGATATATGCTAGCTGAAGTGGGAAAAGTTTCGGACTCATTAAAGTAAGTTTGTGAAACATAATGTGATGTTATGTTTTGCATAGTCTGTCTTCTCATGTACATGTGACTTCAGATATTGCCATGCGGTATTGAAATCCCTAAAATTTAGCCGTGCACCAGAAGTAGAGAATTGGAAACAATTGGTGTTATCTCTTGAGGAGAGGCTTAGAACGCACCAGCAAGTAATTTCTTGCCCTTAATAGAATTTTCTCCATTTGGTTACTGGAAGGCCTTGTTTCCTTTTAACCTAAGGATAAATTTACAGGGTGGATATGCTGCAAGTTTGGCTCCTTCAAAATTAGTGGACAAATTACTGAACTTTTTTGATAGTACTGCTCATAAAGTTGTTGGCGGTCCACCACCAATTGCTCCATCATCATCACATGGAAGTGTTCATGGAAGTGAACATCACCAGCATATAGCACCAAGAGTATTCAATAGTCAATCAACAATGGCCATGTCTTCTTTAGTTCCCTCATCTTCAATTGAACCAATAAGTGAGTGGACAGCTGATGGTAATAGAATGACTAAGCCTAATAGAAGCGTTTCAGAACCAGACTTTGGTAGGAGACCTGGACAGGTGTGATTACTTCTTTATGGTCTGCTCTGAGGATTTTTTTGCTTGCTCTAGATTGTGTTAGAACTCCTTTCATTTATGTATTGGAACTTGATGAAAAAAAGCATACTGATTCATCACAGGAAGCAGCCTCACCTGATACAGGCAAAGCATCGGTTTCAGGGGGTACATCTCGCTTTTCCCGTTTTAGTTTTGGCTCACAGCTGTTGCAGAAGACAGTGGGGCTCCTGAGGCCACACTCTGGTCGGCAGGTATTGTTTATGCATGGCAATTTTTACATGTTGACCATGAATGTTTTCAACAATTCTTTGACAATACATATTTAAATATTTTTTATCCTGTGGAACTATATGAAGGCTAAACTGGGTGAGGAGAACAAATTTTATTATGATGAAAAGCTGAAGAGATGGGTGGAGGAAGGTGCTGAACCTCCAGCCGAAGAAGCTGCGCTGCCACCACCTCCAACATCTGCTGCTTTCCAGAGTGCTAAACCTGAATATGACCTAAAATCTGCATTGAAAACAGAAGGATCGCCCTCAAATGAGGGCCCTGATTTAAGAACTTCCACTCCTGGACATGCTCCAGGGATCCCACCTATGCCACCTACCTCAAATCATTTCTCTGGCCGTGGACGCATGGGTGTTCGTTCAAGGTAACAACTTTAAATCTTCTTATGATCATCTTGGCAGCTAGGATCAGCTTTGTTTTGATTTGTCTATATCGTTTACTGAGTTCTTGTTGGTTACTCTATTAGATTTAAAAGAATGGGAAATTTAAGAATCTTGAGAAATTAGAAGAATCGCAGCAGTTGAATAAATGAAGCTATCATAATTGCTTCTTCAGATGCATTTTGTTTTATCCAGTCTGAGAAAGTTATATTTAACTAGAACAAGCATTTTGGTGCTGGCTCTTCTGTGTAGCCAACTTATTTTCGAGAAACAAGTGAAATGGTTTCTTATCCATAATTTTTTAGTCTTTAACGTCATTGTAAACGCCAATAAACTTGTCGAAACTACTGGCCGCCTATGCAGGTATGTTGATACCTTCAATCAAGGAGGTGGAACCTCTGCAAAGCTGTTCCAGTCTCCTGCTCTATCTGTCAAGCGCGCTCTTCCTACCAACGCAAAATTTTTTATCCCTGCGCCTGCACCTGAACCTTCATCATATGAGCAGACAATGGAGTCAACAGTAGAAAGCAATCAAGAGGACAGTACAGCTAATGCTGATCCGTTACAACCCCCCAATACTACATCATCCATGGGCATGCAGAGGTTTCCTAGCATGGGCAACATCCCAAACAACGGAGCAACGCCAAATGGTGTTGATTCACGTCGAACAACCTCATGGGGTGGTGGAAATTTTGCTGATTCATTGAGGCCTCCGAAGATTGGTGAAATTAAGCCTCTTGGGGAAGCTTTGGGCAGGATACCATCAAGTTTTGTGCCAGATGAGCCTTCAATGCGTCACAATGGGAGCTTTGGTGAAGATCTCCACGAGGTTCAACTTTGAACAGATAATGCAGCTGTAAATATCAAATTTTGTTATAATCAACAGAATAGTTGGGAGACTGCTTCTGCATACAAGAATTGTGGGGTACACCAAGTGGAGCTCGTGAAGAAGCAAGACGTGTATTTTTCTGCCGTCCAACCTCCCCATTTTCTTCATTTTTTTTTTTATATATTTTGTAAAATTTTTTGGGTTCCCAACTCCCTAAGTGGTGATGTATGATTGATTATGGTTGGCTCACTTGATGTTAGATGTTTATTTTACATGCCAAGGGAGTTGGGCCACCATCTCACACACAAGGAACTAGTGTTCTACAGAGAGGGGGGGATAGAGGGTCAGAGTTAACAAGACAATCTTGTACATAATTCAGAAAGAATAAGGATCAATTACTTTCAACTTTTATACGCCATCTCATACTGTGCAAATAAAACTAAAACATAGTACATGACATTTTTATTCCTTAAAAAAAAATCAATTTATAAAATTGGCATAACTTCAATACGTATAAAAGCATTCATCAGAACATCCACTCTTGTGCCCAACTTTCTTCCTTGCAAAAAGATAATTCATGTGGATGCAAGAAGCTCGAATGCCTCTATACCATTTACATTGTGTATGCAAATTAGGGTAGAAAGATCCGAGCTTCAAGTATCTGCAAGTTAACATCTAAAATTCAGCTGAGCCAGGAGTTCGAGGAAAAGGGATCACATCTCGAATGTTGTCCATCCCCGTTGCAAATTGCACAAGCCTTTCAAAGCCCAAACCAAATCCTGCATGAGGTACTGCAAAGAAGGAAACAAAGTGTCAGAGCATGTATCAGTGCATGAGTTTAATCATTCATCAGTATGAGTAATTTGCTCATTCCATCCTCAACACCCCTTTCATTTACACAGAAACATGATTCACTTATTTGAGATCGTTCTACCCCTTTCATTTACACAGAAACATGATTCACTTATTTGAGATCGTTCTAGGGATGGTAACTTTAGGGCAAAAGATGGATATATTTGTTCTTCTCAGAATAATTTTAGTGGGTTAAGATGCAAAAATATTCAGAAATTTTTTCTCCAAGAATTTCTAGCATCTTTAAATCAACAATGACATATGGATATCCATTAACTTCATACAAAAGGCCAACCTTCCCCAATCCATTAAAATAGCCTAATATTGACAGTTAAATTCAAAAGATATAACTTAACAAATCAAAGAAGGTTGGCTTTTTTTGTAAAATTAGTGGGGATCCATACACCATTATTAACTTAAAGAAATCGAAAGGTCCTAAAAAAAAAGGTTTTGGGTATTTTTGCACCTTAATCCATATAATTACCCCCTTGTCCAACATCCTTTATGATATTTCATGTGGAAACTGAAACCTCCCATGAAATTTCTTTTGTTCATTTGAAAACTTGTTCACCAAGCCTTGCCCTATTGGTGACATCCTCAAGTACAAATACAAGATATCAGTTCCTGCGCATAAGCTCTGCATTTATGAATTGATCATGCCAAGAGTCCTGAGAAGACAATATCATAGAGGAATTTGGAATATATATTTTTGTGTTTTTTTTTGGGGGGGGGGGGGCTTAAAAGAAGGATGTTTAGAATTTGTATGGGAAGCTCAAATGATTTGACTCTTGCTCTATGAGTAACTACAGATGCTGGAAGGGAAAGATCTCTGACCAGAACCATATCGGCGCAAATCAAGATACCACCAATATGCATCCTTATTCAGCTTTAAGTCATCCAAACGAGCTTCTAGAAGCTCAAGACGTTCTTCTCTTTGGCTTCCTCCAATAAGTTCACCTATCTGACCAAAGAAAAAGTCACAAGGTCATTACCTAACAGGCAATTACACAGTTAAATACTATTATCAATTACATGTCTGCATCCACACATTTGCAATATAGGATGGAAGATGGTGGTGGTCAATGCTCAAATAATACATCTTCCTATTTTATGCCAGCCTTTCCAAGCTTGAACTACTTTTAAATAGAGCCAAGACACACTGTTCGATGGCTGGAACAACAAAAGAGAGAATATAAAAGTTACCCTTGGAACTAACATATCCATAGCAGCAACTGTATTCCCATCATCATTCTGTCGCATGTAAAATGCCTTAATATCCTGAGAATGTTGCATCAAAAAACTTCAGTACATACAGTACATAATATACATGTATACCAGCATCATATCGTACCATATTATACTATATAATGTTGAGAAAGCAAAGCCCGGGGAGGGCTGATATTTGCATTGTTAGTCCTCTCATAGCTTTTACAAGAAAAACGTAACAAACAAAAAATATAGAAGTGGGAGATGGGTAACTAGGCTGGGCTCAACTTTGGTAAAATTTTCTCAATCAATTAAACCCTCCTTGGGAGTTCTCTTTTCTTTTTTTGGTTTCCCAAGATATTCCCTCAAGGAATCTGAGAGCCATTTAAAGGGTTGTCCTCTCCTAAACGATAATCTCCATACACACCTTCAGGAATAGAATGTTGGAATGATGCTTAAGGGGCATAAACTGCTACCATTTGTACCAACCCACTTGATGCCCCCTTGGGAGTTTTATTGTGTAAAGAAAGTAGGAGAAAAGTAGCATGCCTTAGGATAGTCTCTGATTATAACAGGGCATCCACCAAATGCCTCTTCAGTTATATACCGCTCATGCTCACTCTGCAGATCGCACCCCCATTTTACCTACAAAGGAAAAATAGTAGAAGATATTGCGCGCATCACTTGGAAGCAACCAGAACATGAAAATTACAAACCCTTGTGATGGGGCAGGCCAACAAGAAATGAATTTAAGAATAACAAATATGTAGCAAAAAGGTTATTGCAAATGATAAGTAATTAAGCTACCGGGAATTCAAATTTCTTATTTGCTCCCAAAAGTAGATCTATTGCTTCGGTGTAGGTTATTTGTGCAAAGTCTTTATCTGCTACGTCCTTTAAATGAGAGAATGGAAGAACACCAGAGTTATCAGGGCACGTTGCTAATTAGAGTTAAAGACATACAGCCAAAACATCAGATAAAGAACAGAAATATGACAGTTACACTGAAAGCTCATACACTCAATCGATCAATGATTCCTTTCTCGATCCATGTATTGAAAAAGTCCATGTCCTCCTTGCAGTTGTCAAGAACATATCTCACCTTCAAGCAACAAATATATGCATCAACCAATCTTTAATATGAACAAACAATACTGAAAAGCTTGCCAAAATCATCTAAATACCATGTTAACTTAATAATAGATGTGAAGGGTAACATACTACGTACTGTAGATAGGCAGTTGCACAGGCCATGTCATCATCTAGATCAGCAAATGCAAGTTCTGGTTCGATCATCTTGAAGGGGAAAAAAAAGATACCTCTTGCTATTAGTTTTATTATGCATGCATAACTAGATAATAGAAAAGAAACAGTGAGGAATAGAAACGAAAAGGAGTCCATTCCCTGAGGAGTCCCTGGAAGTGTTTCTGCTTATTTATATTACACTCAAGAAGAAAATCAGAAATTACTAACCCAAAATTCAGCCAAGTGTCTGGAAGTGTTAGAATTCTCTGCTCGGAATGTGGGACCAAAAGTATAAACCTAAATGAGTACAATATTCAAAGTTCATTTCAACTGCCAATTCTACTCTGAATTTAATAATGATAAGAACAGCTGGCCAAAGAAAAAACAAAATCAACTACAATATTTTTTAAGAGAATGAAGTTATGCGTGTACATCAGTAAGAGCAGTAGCATATGCTTCACCATTAAGTTGGCCCGAGACAGTCAAGAATGCTGGTTTACCAAAGAAGTCCTGATACATAATAAATGATCAACATCAAAATCATTCAATAACCATGTTACAAGCTTATTTATGAGGGAAACCAAAAGAATAGATCTCACTCACTAGAGACCAGTCAATTAATCTGTTATTGACTTGTGGAATGTCATCAACAGGAGAGTCAGCAGTTTCTTGAGAACTTGGTATCTGTAAATTTAAGAGATCACCAGATTAAAGAGAAATTGAGAGTGAAGACAACAGATACTATGACAAATACTGGCTATGTCAATGGAATAATTTCTAGCACTATCTTTTATTTTGAAACTAAAAGTAAATTATCAAACGAATGCTAAATGTAGTGAGTAAACAAATACCAGGTATATACCATTAGAATGCGAGGGCATGGATTGCAAAACCAAAGAATTAAACAAATAAATGCAGATTGCATGACATCTGTAGACCTATAGCTCATAGCACCAACCCAGATTGACAACATCAAAGATTGTGAAATATTTGTCATTCCAAACTATACCAGCACAGAATCTTGGAAAATATAAATACATATATATTTTACATTAGAATGCTAGTTTCTCACCCTAATCAATACTAGGTTTTTACATTCCTCTTTTTCAGATGCTTGGCTGCATTTTAATTTGTTTCATAATCACACAGATTACATGCCTTCCTTTACCCAACAGCAGGATTAGTCAACAACATGTTACTTGTGATATTAGATGGTACAGTGCATACCAAGGTAGTCACACAAAACTGTTCACCTGCCCCCTCACAATCTGAAGCTGTGATAATAGGACTTGAAACCCACACAAACCCATTTTCTTGGAAGAACTTGTGTGTGGCATAGGCTAACGCATTCCTCACCCTTGCAACCTGAAACCATTTTGCACCGTTATATTTAAAAAAAATAAAAGAGCCATCAGAATTTTTGCTTTTGCCGTGACAAAATTACTCCCTAGCTTTTCTAGGATAAGAAATTCATTGACTGAATATGTCACACTGATTTGGGCATGATGGTCAATTAAAAAAATCAAACTCAGTTCATTTTATCTATACTAAACATGTGATAAATCATCAGATATGACCAATAATTGAACCCATAAAAATTTGGCAAGCTAAAACCCGCTCATATTCATCATCTTGGCACCAACTGATCTCACATATTAGCATGAATGCAACAAGAAGAATAACACAGAATTCAAAGATAGACACGAAATTCAACTTGAATCATCAAAGTAGATGAAATTAGTTGTTACTTTATGCACAATCAAGCAAAGATATGAAGAGGCTATCTACAAAATATGCTAGATAAAAAGAGCCATACTGCACCAAAAGTATTTGTCCTTGGACGAAGATGTGCCTTTGTTCTCAAAAACTCTCTGCTGGCCCTTTTCTTCTGGATAGGAAATGAGGGATCACTCTTGCCAACCTGAGAATATCATACAAGAAATTTGCATGAAACTGCCAGCTTGAAGCCCAAAAATGTAAATGAAATAGGCAGAGAAATGTAAGGACGGTCCACTCATGGAGAAAAAGAAATCACTTATAACTGTTTAAGTCAATACTAATGCTTTTAGTTATGGCATTGCCCTGCCATGAACATTAGTTATCTTTGTCATAAACATAAATGCAACAAAAATCCAAGACTCAGATCCAATGGCTTAGTTCAAAGGTTTGACATTGAATCATTCCAAAGGAACTAAAATCACAAAGTTCAAAGCCAAATGCTTCCACAAGCAATTTCAAAATACCTGAGGAAGCCCATATACATGTACATGTGAGATTGTCAAAGTCAGCATCATTACAAACAAACCCATATGCACATCCAGGCAATGGAATTAATTGTTGAAATAGCTATGATGGTTTCAATGTTACCTTATCCTGACTGGGAAGTATTTAAGTAAATATTAAAGCAAATAAATTGGGAATGATTGTTGAAATGGATGAAGTCTGGAGAAAATGTTAAAAGAGTCAAGTAAAACAACCGACCAGTACTACTTTCTGGACCTTCAATTCCACCTTCTGCTTTGATCCCTGGCTCTTCACCACCACTCCTTGCACCCATATAGATGCACCAGTTGTGATCAAGCCGGTTTCTACCTAATAATAAGCTCCAGAGGTTTAAAATAAACAAAATTTCCATATGGAATGAATAGTCCATAAATTGGAACAATATTGTATAACTCAGACTTCTTCAAAAGATAGTATCATGGCAAACACATAGTAGACATTTGTGGAAGTACCGCAAAATAAACATGCTTATTAGTATATGCAAACATGCTTTCCTCTATTTTCTTAAACATGCTCTTCTTCTTTTTTGACATTGACATGCAAGGCTGACTCATAGAAGCAACTGTGACTTTTGAACACAAACAAATGGACCATGTGCATCCTGTGGTTAATCCATTCTATTGAAAACCATATATATATATATATATATATTTCATTAGTTAAAATTTATATTGAAGTCGTACATTTCTCAGAAGATTTAGACATGTTGGAATCTAAAAACAAGAGCGATTGCCCATGCTCTGTCAAAGTAGCTAAAAATTTAAGTTCCTTTGAAATTTCATTTATTTATAAGTAAGACTACTTCAGAAACATTTTGAAAACTCAGTTCCTCAGCATTCAAACAAGGAGGGTGTAAAGAACGTAATCCCACCATTATAAGAAATGAAAAATTTGCCTTAACGCTTGTTTGAACTAAAAGACAAACATTTTGCTCATAATCTTACCTGATCATATCCCTCGACATCTGAGTCCATCACGCATTGCATGTTTGAAAGGCATGAACCATCGTTAATCTAAATATAATAGAATCAGACCACAGTAAGTAACAGTGATGCAGCGGATGCAGTTAATGGATCACCATGGTTTCTGTGCAAACAGAATTTAGACTAGGAATAGATTTAGCACCATGAAATTACCGGAGGATGTTCCTTAATTCAGTTAATAATTTATGTAGTCAATACAAGAATTCCAAGTTTAAGTGTTGAATTCAATTCAGTAATTCCTAATAACGATTCCACATCAGGTTCCCCTTTCTTAGGTTCCTTTGAAATGCGTTTCTCAGAAAGTCCACGACTTTAGCCAATATAATGAGACAATCAATCACCGATACCTCTACGAACGTAACGCTGCTTTGGACCCGAAGAGTTCGAACCCATCCCTTGACAACCAGAGTCTGCCCCGCGAAGTCCAAGCCTTCATTAGGCCCACTCTTTATATCGACAACCTTGAGCTTCTTCCGAAATTCCCCAACTTTCCCGCCCACTTGGCCCCTCTGATCTTGAGCAACATCCTGCTTTGTCGTCTCGACGGCCTCTCCGGCGACTACGGTGCAGAAGCAGCGCCGGCGGGGAATCTCCAGGGAGAAGTCGGGAAACGCATAGGAACGAAACAGAAAAGGTTTAGAGAGTGATGTAGGGAGTTTGGGAAGCTGGTGGGGGATTGGCTTGCGATAGAGTGAGAGATAACGAAAGGCTGCGTTAGGAGATAGACGGAGGTGTCTGGTGGGAGCTACAGCAATGGCAGCCATTTGCTGAGTCGCACAGCCACGGACCATATCTGCTTGAGGCGCGCACAGGGTTATATCCGTTGATGCATTTGGTGACCCCCCCCCCCCTCCTCCTTCTTTCGCACGCTGTATCTTATATTGTCTGAATATACTTAGTTCATTATATTCCCAATTCACTGCAAACTAATTCAAATTCTCACTTAGATGAGACTTTTTTTAAGAGAATTTTGCAGATATCACTGACGAGACATGCTTTGCATGCTCAGCTATACTACTACATATTTTGAAACTCGAACACAAGATTCTAGGTTAAGCTGTCTAAGTTTCTAACTACTAAGACAAATGCCTGTTGGTCATTTGGTGAGGTTGATGCCTTTATAGTGTGACACCCCAGCAAATTTGTGCACATTCGCATTAACTTTTAACCTTAATTGGAATGGGCCAAACTGAAAAACTGATGTTAGAGTATAAAAAGCTCAAAAAATATTGCTTGGATTTGTAAAAATTTTCAACTTAAGTTAGGGTTTAAAGAGTGTTTTTGGGCAAGCCATTAGACTTGGCTTTTTCCATCATGTTAACATTGAGCTATGGGCTGTTGGGAAGCATTAATTGCTTTTTAAATTGTTATATTTACTCTCTCTTCTCATCTATCTACCCACAAGCTTTACTTAACCTTCCTTATATGCATGGTCTTTCTTACTCTTGTGACCTCCTAAGCTCTACCCTCAACTCTGCTTCACCTTCCATTGCTCATAGGCGGCACTGTCCAACTACTGATCTCCCATGTGTTGTTCACAGTGACCTCCAACCAATCTTTAGCTCTTCGTCGTCCTTTCTTACATCCAATGTGTCCCTACTCTGAAGTGTGGTTCTCCTTGTCGCCTCTTGAACTCTACTGTGGTCCACCAAATCTATACTTTCCATTACTGGATCTACTCCCTATCGCCTATCCTTGCTAAGTAAGCTTATTTTTTTTCCTCTCCTTCCTTGCCATCATGCTTTGCCTACAAGTGGCCGCATATTAGATTTACATCTCTGGTCCATCCCAACCTTCATCGTCTTCTTCATCTTTTGCCTTTTTCGTCTCTTATTGCTTGTTGACTGAAATGGTTGTCATTTTCTGGTCTCTTGCATTGCTAGTCATAATGCTCTGGATCATTATGTATGAATGAATGGACGATTGAGTGCTCAACTCCTTTATTCTTGTTTTTTTTTCTTGATTGAATGCTTGGTGATGATCCTTGGTGAGAGCTTCTGATGATCCTTGGCAGGAAGACAAGCTTTGTAACCCTCCCCTATATCCGTTAGATATAGAAAAAAAAATTAACTAAATCACCACACATGCACTAAATAGTAATCAAATACTTGGTTTAGGAGCTGTAGTAGTAATACTCGAGCCTAGGCTTGAGTTTCGACAATTCCTATGATGTAAATAGAGTTTATGATTGTTGTTTAATGCTTCTACACTGAAGTTTTAGTTTATGGCATCATTAAATGTTATTAAGGAGGGTTTTAGAGTTAACCCTAATCATAAACAGTCTTTTATTGCATTTATATGATTTCTTTATCCAAATCAGTGATCATGTGTAGCAACCTTCAATTCCTCTTATCTTCTCAAATGTGGGACCCACACAATTCTTTTTTTAATTTATTTTCTTTCCTTTTTGATTTTCTTTCATTTTGTTTTCCTTTTTCTTCAATTTGAGTTATTTTCTTTCCTACATAATATAAAACAAAAGATATGATTAGATTTTGTGACAAAAAATCTTCTTTATCTTATAATTAAGTGATAAGAAAAAAATATATAAAAATTAATTAAATAGGTATAAAATATTAATAAATATAATCAAATATAGTCTAAAATATATGCCTTTTCATCAATAAAGTGTGAACCTATCAAACTTATGTGAGCATGATGGGTAGGAGTTCATCCTAGAGTAGTAAAAGGATGTATTAGAAAAATTCACATGATGTAATGTCCACTGAGTTTGCACACAATGATTAGCATATTTTATTACTAATATGCATATTATTGCTAATAACCTTATCAGTTGGGTATGATACTCAATATCATTGATCCTTGATCAGACAGTATGGGTCAAGCATTTATAACAACTTGAAATTTGAGTAAGATGAACTAATGGCCTAAGAGCATAAGAGCTTTTGGTGGGTCGACCCCTCACCATTAGAGAGCAAATATAATCTAATCACATGTGTTAGTTTTATATGAGTTAATAGCCTATGGGTTTTGTCAGATGATATAAAAAGGGATATGAGATGATTGTGTTAATCATGAGGCATTGAAATATGAATGCAAATGTTTATCATATGGATTGGGTTATATACTATACACTACCTGATTGATCGTAACTGTCATACTTTAATATGCTTTGATTATATTCTTGATTACCGAAATTGTTTAATCTCACTCTCATTAATCAATGTTTTTCTAGGTGATGATAATGCCAAAGGAAAAGGGGGGAGGTATCGATTCTAAAAAACTAAAGATGAACTTATAAAGTCTCTAGTTTCGATTTATGCATAATTGGAATTATGTTTTGCTAATACTAGGATTTATGAATACTTTATATATGAGAATTATGAATCATTTGCATATGAACCTAAATGTTGACTTGGGCATTTTTGGTGGTGGCTTTAAGTTTTGGTTGAGATGCAAATGTGTGATGAATTTGGTTTGATACTTGAGTAGTTTATTTATCAACTACAATATATGTAATTATGCATGTTTTCATTAGCCAGTGATATGTGATTAAGAATGGTTGTGAGGGGAGACACTTGTTTTTATTCATCAAGCATAAATGCTATTTAGGTACTAAGTGTTTCATGATCCTTACTTTATACTAGAATTGAGTTACAATTGGTGCTAGTAGTTAGATACTTTTGTGTTTAGATTTTTAGGTCGCCTTAATGAGATTCGAGTGATTAATTATGTGAGTTTGAAGTTAAATTCATCATGCTGTTCTCTGTGATGATAATGCAAGGTTCGTCATGGCGAATAATGATAGTGGCCACGATGAGTATGTGCAGGGGTATATTGGCCGTGTAACACCTTGAGTTGCAAACTCTAAAATTTTATGTGTTTAACAAGAATAATTTGGTCAAAATTAGTTATCTATGAATTAATAATGTTTTTGGGACACGAATAACATTTTTAGACCTTTAGATAGTTTTAGAAATGAGCTAAGATAGTGTACGAGTCAGCCGGGCTTGAGAGGGTGGCCAAAATGGGCATATGGCTTTATTGTGCTATGTGTCGCGATACACGGCTAGTTTTAAAATAAAGTAGATGCAAGTTGCGTCTGATTTTAGAAGAGGAAAGAGGAGAAAGGAGAGAGGCAATAAAGGAGGAGCTCTTGGGTGCTAGGGCTTCATCTTGGAGCACTTTGAAGGCAATACAAGCATGGGTTATCATTGGGTAAGCTCCATTTCCTCTCTCCTCCCCCATATTCAAATTTTTAAAGTGAGAGGTTAGGTTTAGAGATTTTTTTCATCTCTCCTTAGGTTTTGACCGAATCTATTGGCTTAGTTAAGGTCTTGGGGGTTAAATTAAGCTTGTAAACCTAGTTTTATAAGTTTTGTAGTGATTTAAAATTTTTTGTTAGGGTTTAGATGAACCCTAAGTAAAATTTGAGAGTTTTGGAACAATATGGGTAAAGGATTGGTGTTATTAGTGTGTTTGGGTGTTAATAGAATTAATAGAGTGTGTTGAAAGTGTTAATGGCATTAAAATAAAATTTTGGGTATAGTGGGTACTTAAGATTTAGTGATTAAAAGGTTTAGCTAGAGTGATAATTGATTATTAACGCTCAATCATGTAAATTAAATATTGCTCAAGTTTTGATAGGCGAGTGGACCTTATGGAGCACATATTAGACCACAGCAACCTTTTTTGTAACAAAAGATTGAAGTAATCAAATAATTCACTCTATTTGATTATGCGCTTAACTGTTTGTGAGTAAATAGTAATTTTGCATATATGTGTTTGAAAGTGTTGCATATTACAAAAAGAGGATATTATGCATAGAAAATAACTCTTAAAACAATAAATTTTTGAAAGGATCATTATACGAGTAGTTTATGGTTTGGGTGCAAGTATGTGATTTACATGAGAAGACTGAGTATGATCATGATAGAGGTGGGAGTTCACTCATAGAAAGGAGTAATAGAAATCCATATGGCTTTTATCTCCTTAATGCTTAGTAAGGTATGATGTTGAAGATTATCTCTTTAGAGCCCATGTGAGGTACAGTGTAAGAGATTCATGCTTTTTAGCATCAGTGTGATGTGATGTTGGAGTAACAACACCCTAAATCATGTGTGATAAGAGGAAACCATAGTCCGAAAGTGGGATAGGACACCTTTGACTAAATAATTCTACCACTAAAGGTGCGCTCGGGCTAATGTTTATGTGCGCTTGGTCCAATAGAGCCTTTGACTTCAATCGGGTAATATGGAGGCTCGGATGGTATAATGATCATACTAGAGTGTGAAAATGGCTTACGAATATGGAAATACTTATATTTGGACATTCATAATTGTATTTTTGTATATATAAGTTTTACTTGTTTATAATTGTGCATATTAATTGATAGTTGTGAGTTATTTTGTTATTAAGATATTTATCTCATCTTGTGGTTATATTTTATAGTTGAGGGCTCAGTTATGAGAAAAGGAAAGGAAGGAACTATTGAGGATTGGAGAGCTTTAGCTTGTTTAGCTCTTCCTCTTTTTATTTTCATATTGTAATGAATGACTTGTGAATTTTTATGCCAAGTTAGGATCATGTGTTGTTTTAAGGTCACTTGCATGAGAATTATTGTATCAATGTGAGTATCTCAGCTTAGAATGATGTATCTGTGATGAATTGTTGTGAAAAGTCAAGATACTAGTGCAGGTGATATTTTTATGTTGATTATGTGTTGCAATGGCCATGAGGATGTTTATTATGAATTATTGTTAACCTTGGAATCATAGTGAATTTGGGGTTTTAATGGCCAATTTGTACCTAAAATGCTATTGGTGTTATATGATTAGTTTATCAAGTTGAGTGCGATTCATTTGAGTTAGTTCAAGTGATACTAAGGCCATTGGTA